GCATGCGTGCAAGCGTTTGCGAGGCCCCGACTGAGAGCGTGTTGCCCGTGCGTGTGTGTAGCTGCCCGCGCGCGATCGCGTGCGGCGGTGAGATCAAAGAAACGCGGCTGCGCTCTCCCCCCGGCGTCCCGTTCTCGCAGACGTTATGGTTTTTTTCCCGCTCGTCGCACACTACCTCTCGCTCTAATTTCTCGGTTTCTTTCTCACGCGCCCGCTACGGTCTCCGTACCCCTTGCCCCGTATTCCTCGCTGCCCCTTTCTGCGCGTTTTTGCAATGTCCCGCGCCCGCGTCTTTCTCTTAATCGGCGCTCGGCGTTTTTCCCTTGCGTCTTTCCCGCCTACTCCCGCGCTACTTTCCTCCCTTCCTCTTCCGCGCCCTGCGCCTTGTTTTATTCTCTTTGTTTTTGTTTTTTTTGTCGTTTTTTATTTTGTTTTTTGTATCTTCCCTCGTACTCGCTGATCTACTCCTCTAGTCTCTTTAATTGCTTTCTTTTCTCCCGACCTCTCTCTCTCTCTTTCTCTACCTTTATCTTTATCTCTGTCTCATACCAGCTGTCGGCCTTTCTCCCTCTTCCTCTGCCGTTGTTATTTTCGCTTTCGTCTTGTTATTATTACACTTATTGTCCCCTTCTAGCGTCAGCCTGACCGAAACGCTCCACCACGAGAGAAAGTCACAGAGAGACGTATGCGCGCTTCTTATGATCTCTCGTTCTCCTTTTCTTAGTGGGCATGTGTGCACGTTGCACCAAACGAAACGACTCAATACGCCGAGTATGCGTTCCTTTAACGGACTAACGGGAGGGAGGGGTCAAGAGAGAGAGAGAGAGAGGGGGGAGAGTGAGAGAGAGAGGCTGGCAAGTGTTGCGTCGGACAATAGCCCCCGGAGAGCGCGCGCGGCTTCTCTTTGATGTTCCGACAACTGTGACGACGCTCGAGAACAGCGAGAGGGAGAAGCACGTTCGCGCCGCTGAGCCAACATCCGGAATATTCGCCGGGGCTAATTATTAACGGATTATCCGCCGGTAGCCGCTGCAATCCACGTACGAGTAAAATCTTCGGCCTCGCTCCCACTCTCTTCCTCATTCCGGCAGATGGCGCGAGAGCGATACAGCCCCCCCCCCCACACACTCCCACCCACCCCTCTTTTCTTTTAGCCTGCGGTGTCTTATCTTCGCCGATTAAACACAACCCGCGCTCGGGGTTTGTTGATAATTGGATTGTTTATGAAATAATAGTCACACGGCCCCTGTTGTACCAACAACCGGTCGAAATGAATGTGGTGGGGAGGGGAAGGGGTGCGAAGAGGAGGAGCTTTTTTGCAGGAACGTCCAGGGATACATGGAAATTATGCCGCGTCGGGCAATGTTTTCTTCCTAGCGTTATTACAAGGGCGAAAAAAGAACGCGCCGTAAGAGCTATGCCGCGTCATTATGGTTTTCCACTTTTCTCTGTTCGATCGACGCGTTTTAATGGCCCGAGCTTTACCCCCGCATCAAAGCAAATTATAATTAAGCTAATAGTTTTTGTACCTTACCGCGTAATTTTAATGCGTCGTTATGATAATGCAAGTGCCGATATATTTTTATTCAATATTAAATAAAAACAGGTTTAGCACATCGATGTATGTGGATATCTAAGCCATCTAGGCCTCCCGTACGAACATGAATATATTAATGAGTTTAGCGTATCGGTATATAATTAATTAGTAAAAGAAATTGATGGGTAAATAAAAATGTTGCAAGTTAAAAAAGCGGGGTGGGGGCGAAATGGGAATGCTTTCGTTTCACATGATTGTATGACCTTAGCTTTTTGTTTGTTGCAGGTGAGTTGCAGTAATTATCGGACGATTAAATCCATTTTGGTAGGTAAGATGAAGTATTATGGTAGCTTATAAAACTGTGCTCAATTGCATAAAATTGAACAGACATTATTTCAATAGTATTGTAGTTAATTGTGCGGTTGATCCGTTCATCGTTACTTCATCATAACTTCATATCTTATCTCCCCAAAAGTGCCCGAGTTTTTGTCCGCTTTAAGAAGTGATTAAATAAGCGTAGGGAGCTACCTAAAGCGAAAAATCCTAAACAATTGTCATACGCTGGCAGCTTGTTCGGCGTCAAGATCCATAATTGCTAACCTATGCAAAGTATTTTATTAGAAGAGGAAAAACATACATACACTCGGAATATCTGATTCAACTAAAAAGAAAAAAATAAAATGTCTGAGTATCATCCTCTTAACGAACCATATTACAGTTATAAGAGAGTTAACTCGCATTGGTCGATAAAAGAACTTATTCATTTTTTTATAAATTCTCGAGAAAATCCGCGAGATCTAAGCTGCTTCTGATTTCACAATTTCGAAAGGGATATAAAAATAAAAATAAAAGAAAAAAAAAACAGGGGGAAAAAGCAGACACGATTTGCATATTTCTCGTTATTGTCTATCAAATTCAATTAAAGTTCTCGATGTAAGTTTGCGTGTTTGCGCGCGAAAATGCAATTTGTTGGGAAAATTTTGAATGAAATAATCAAGTGAAGTTAAAATTCCCTTTTCCCTTTGTGCTCGCTTACTTTTTTCGCTCTGCCTTAGAAGTCATCGGATTCCCCGAGTTGCTTGTGTCAAGTTCACTTATTTCAGCGGAATGTATATTGAAAACACTCGAGAGTAGCAGAACTTTCCTCCGTAACACTTGGTCATTATTTCCTTAATGTCGAATAATGGCGCGCTCTCGGCGTTATCTCTCGTCTAATTAATGCGGGCATTAATCACGATCTTGAGAAGCGAGCAGACGCATCGGAGCGAAATTTGCGATAAATGCCATTTTGTATCCCAATTTACGTGTAATTGCATCGCCCACGAGAGGCTCGCCAGCACTTACAAGGAAGCATTCCTCGGACTGCAATTCCACCTGGAGCGCCCCGGGGGCAGAAGGTGTGCCAGATCGACTGTCTCCAGCAGGGGACACAACCTCCGTGCTCCGTCTTTCCTCACTCGATTTGCGTCTGTCCGTCGTCTTCTTTTATTATCCGTATCGACTTGTTAGAAACGGCGTATGTATTCTCGAGTGCCACCAATCTGGTGGTTATCGATCGGCGGCCTTTCTTGGAATACTTTTTCCATTTCGACGAGGCCGTAGCTAAGTAGCGAATTATTTTCGCGGGGAAATGCGGAATTGCGTGGTTATTGCGTTTGACGTGAGCCTCGATAGTTTAAGTTGTCGCTGGCAGGACTTGATTTTTACAAATTATCTGCAGACAGACGGCATTTAGCCGGAACCTCGACACCGACATCTTTTTTAAAGAATTATGGAATTTTGTTAACCGAGAGGTGTACGAAAGGATCATCGTTACAGAAAATATAAAATCTGATAAAATATCAGCGGATGTATCATTGATCACTAACATTTTGAAATTTATATAAAAACATTTATCAATTTGGTTCGTATCGATTATAATCTACCTTATTTAGCTTTTCTTAACGTCTGTTTTTGCTTTTCAAGACAATGTCATGAGCGATTTTATGTATTGCCTGGTGTTTGAAAAAATCACATTATTTTTGACGACCCCCGTAATACATTTATTTATACTGCTAATATAAACTCGTTCTGTAACATTAATATTGTTATTATTATCGTTACGTTTCGATAACATTTGAAATTAACAGTAATTTAACTCGTAGCTTTATCCAATCACTTTAAAGTCATAGTTAATAATGCGTCGATTACGAGACTTAGCTTCATCGATTATTTGCATACATTATGATCAATGATTGTGAAAACCCATTAGGAGATTTTTATTACATGCTAATTATTAATAATAATACACTGATGTAGGATATTACTTTCCTCGTGTAATGTCTTCGTTAAATGTTTCGATGAAAGATTTTTTTTTTTAAAGTTACCGATCACGCTTCTCAGAGAATATTATGTAATATTAGCGACAGAGCGAAATTAATTTTATTACGCAAATTAGGAACTCATAGACGATTAAATAATAAATGAGAAATTATCGCTGAGGATTATCGCGCAAACACTGCATTACTAGGAACACGCACTTTGACTCAGCTGTTCGCAATAATTTTTGGCCAACTATACAATGAACGTTTCGATAAGAAAGTGCAACAATAAGAAAATTGTTGATTGCCGAAATGAGGGGATGGAATCGAAATTGGCTTCCCCCAATAAATAGGCTCATCAAAGCTTCATACCGAGTTGGAACCTTAATTATTGGGTATTAAAGGCGATCCCAAGAGCCTCTGGAATCTTTGCCCTCGGTTTTCCGGGTGCATTAGCGTGAGTTTTTCCGGTGGCCCCCGGGGTTCGCAGCTTCCACCTGTGGCGCTGGGACAAAGGCCGCGAGGTCACGCGCGCCCCTTTAAAAGCTTCCCTTCAAAAGAGGGATGCATATAGCACGTACGCGGCGGGGGTGGGAGCCGCCACGTCATGTAAGTCTTCTCATTGTAGAGTCGGCCGAAGGGAGGAGGTAAGGACGTTAGGTAAAAAAAAAGGAGGGGGCGATGGTGGGGAAAGGGAGAGGATGAGCGACAGCTGGTTTTCTCCTGGCGCGCTTATGGTCACTGGCGCTGTGCTGCTCCTTGTCGACCGAGTCGCGACGCGCTCACGGGGAGTAGGGCTGTTTCGCGTTATCTCTCTTCCTCTTGTGCACGTACATACCGTGCCGTGAAGAGAGCGAGAGAGAGAACGAGAGAGAGAGAGAGAGAAGGCGAACCTTTCTTCTTGCTCCCCTCCGGGCACTCGCTTCGCGCCTCTTCGGGGAATCGTAAATCGCGCGGAGCACGGAGGGTCGCCTTTGAACGCGCCGCCGTGTCTGCCTCTCTCCCCTTCCTTGCCCCGCACCACGGTCCCCTCGGCCCCGGAGCACGGCCCCCGGCCCCCGTTGGTGCGCTCCCCACTGCGCGGAGTCTCGTTTTTCGGGAAAAGCCGATGCTGCTGGCGGTGTGACGCGAGCGCCACGGCCGCCAGTCGGGCCGTAGTCCTCGGGTGCGACGCGTGTGCTAATCGTGACTCTAGCATATCTCGCCCCACCTCCCGTCCTCCCTTCCTGTCATATCTGCCAGTACTCCTTCCTTTTCCTGCGCTCGCGTTGTTGTTCCTGTTTGTTGATCGTTGAGAGCAGTGTGTAGTGCAAGAAGAGGAGGATAGTGTGACACGTGCCTGTTGGTTGTTGTTTGTTGAATTATTCTTGGCCGTCTGGCGTTCGTCCATCCGTTCCAAGAAGGAAGAAAGTGAGGTTAGAGTAGCGGCAGCAACACTCAAGAACCGCCGTTGCGCACACCAAACATGTTTCCCGTGAACACTGGCCGGCCGATTACTTTGATCCGAGACACTTGGTTTGCCAGGCCTTCGATCTACCAGTACTAGTGCGTCCATATCTCGAATATGCGACCGCTCGGTTATCATGGATCTAGAGAAGGAAAAGAGGTACCGATATCGTTTCGAAGCTTTTATAGCACCTTTACACGTTTCTTACTTCCTTACTTCCTTCTTTCCATACTTTTATTCATTACTTCATTCCATTACTTCATTACTTCCTCCCTTTCATTCTTCCTTACTTCTGTACTTTATTCTCTTCATGCTTGCTTTCGTTGATTTCTTCCTTCCTTCCCTCCCCTGCTCTTCCGTTATTTCATTTTTACGCTCTTTCTTTCATCATTTATTACTTCCCGAATCTTATAAGGCGGCACACTATAATAAAAAAATCCTCTTGCCGGATCTTGTCATTGGCTTGTTGCATAAGTGTACATG